TTATGCTGCGGTGTTAGGCATTACAGCTAGTTAGAAAGATTTATACTTAAAATTGATTGATTAATTAATTAAATTAATATTTAATTATAATTAAGCATTATGTGTAGTCCTATTCCTCTTCTCTGATATTTTGATGAAGTGCTACATGCTGAAGATCCTGATTTAACAAAAAAAAAAAATCAAAGGAAAGAGATTGTGCAGAAATCTCTATGTAACAATCATCTGTAACCCCAGCGATAATATTACTGACAAACATTTTGCAGTAAAATTCAGACTTTGTTACATCATTTAGCACATATGCATTCTTCATGCGATAGTTAGGATGGGTTTCCATTCTGCTTTTTCTGTTTTGTTTTTTTTTTAATTCAATTATAATCACAGATGGCTAGAAGTGACTAAAAGGAGGTAGGAAATTATTTTGCACCTTAGATACTGTCTTGGGATACTCTCATCAAAGGACCAAATTTTAAAAAAAGCCCCAAATCCTGTAAAATTTCAGTCTGCTTTCAATGACCAGAAAATAACAATACACCGTTTGCTTTATTCTGAAATGGAGATTAATATGTGCCAATCACATTTCATAGCTTAGCTACCTGGTGGAGGTTAATCAGCATTTTTATGATCCCATTTTAGTGGCAGGGTTCAGGCTGCCTTGGAAACTTTGAAGGAATTGCTTTCCTCCTTGTAGCACGGGGCCCAGGGACTCCTGCGCTGCGGCGACTGGGGTGGGGAGCTGGGGTTCCCCTGGGGCCCCCGTCGAGGCAGTAGTGGGAGAGGGCAGCTGGTCTCTGTGGTGCTCTCCGGGGAGCTCCCACTCAGGATACAGCCTCTTGCTTATATTAGTGACATCCAAAGTTAACTGAGGCACTGTGCTTTTCCAGAAAGTCCGTGTATTAGTGTGTCTGGTTATGTGGGAATAAACAACGTGGAGGCTTCCATCCCTCTGTCTTCACAGGAGGACTTGGTAATGTGACACCCGACCTCTTAACCCAGCCGTCTTTTGTAGAAACTAAATTTCCTTCCCCATGGGGAAGAATTTGAAGACGACTGTTAGTTTCAATGAATTCAGCTTCATTGCCCCTCTCCACTATGTTACTGCAAAAGGAGACAATTTGGCTCCAAATGACTAATGCGACTCTTTTTTAAAAAAATATTTTAAAAATTTCAGTCTTATCTGAGGTTATTGAGCCTGTATCTGAGGTTAGCATTATTAATTCATAATGACCTTCCATGCGGCCTTCATGGGCTGAGATTGCTGTGCATGTTAGTACATACTGAGTAAAAATATTTCTGTGAAATGATAGACTGTATTTATAGACAACAGAGCAAAATCCTAGCTTCTCTTAAAAAAAAAAAAATACTAAGAAGAGAGCATTTACGCACTTTTAATGAGTAGTGAGCTTGCCAAAATCTCTCAAATTGGTCCAGAGGTTTGGAATGAAGAATTATCATTTGAAGATGAACCATACGAGTTCTGCTGCAATTTCAGTAGCAATCCCCAGACCTGTTTTCTTTATGTCATGAAAACTTCAGAAACATAAACAGTGCTGAATTGCCACTGGTACTGAATAATGTGGCTTTTATTGTTGCCTGGGCTTTTCTGTATATTCAAGAAAATAATTTAATATTTATTAATAAATAGAAGGTAACTAAAGATGACTGTGATCTAGTCTGTTGAAAATTTCTCAGTACCCTTAATTTGTTAGTAAATTCAATAGATTTTATTTAAGCAGAATCATATATACAGTATATTAACTTTTTTTCCAGGCAATCTTTACTCAGCACAGAAAGGCCAGATGTATGGGAATTGTAAAAAATCAGGATATGCATAAAAACTGTTCAAGTGCATAAAGCAGCCCCATCTGGAAGACATCTAACAGAAATGAAGTTGTACAAAACCATTCCATTGATAATAAAGCTAATTTTTATGGGTCTGACAAGTATGTAATTATGTTCAGTGGTGCTTTTCAGATTTTATCACAGTCAATAAACCGCAGTGGTAATTTCATTCCCATTTGACATATTTACATGGAAACATTTGATTGGAGGAATTAGTAACCCTGAAAGCCTTGATAGATATGTTTTAATGATCTGTGACCTCCGCAGTCCCTCATCTGTTTATTGTTGCAACAGGCGAGAAGTCGTTCCTCTGTGACCTTTGTGGCTTTGCCGGCGGGACACGTCATGCCCTCACCAAGCATCGGCGGCAGCACACAGGTCAGTAAAGCTGTCTTTACTCTTTGCTATATTTTCTCCAGCAAGGGAGTCCCTCTACACTGGGGAGTAACGCAAGTCAAATAGCACGTTACAGCACAAATAATACATCAGCTCATTGTTTACTTTGCTTTTTCTCGTTTTTGTAAAATCGTCATGCCCAAGGTCTGCATCAAATCTGTTAGCTGGGAGTTTGAATAATTGCTTGGGGGGCGAGTGGGGGGTATTTCTGGTGTTTTTTTCTGAAGGAAGTAGAATTGTAAAGACTGGCTTTCTTCTTTAAATGAGTGCTAAGTCTACTAATTTTTTTTTTCCAAGGCCCAAATAGATTACCTACTGTGAAGATTTTGCAAGAGTCTGCTAGAATGTCCCTGGGTGAAAATTAGAGACTACATATAGATTAATCCATTATTTTGGACTGAGACATAGTTGAAAGCTAGTGTTGTTTCAGTTGCCCTTTTGTAATTTTAAGATAGTTTGTAATTAATAGGTGCAACTTTAAGAGTTACCACATGGTTGGCATGTAAAGCAGGATTTCTCTCCCAGAATTAGTAAAGCTTTCCTACTACCTGGTTATAAAAATTTAATATCAGAAAAAATTAAATTGGTTCTTAGTTTCAGAAGACCAGAAAATGTGTAAGTATTAAACATTTATTAATACATTTTACCTTAATTGTGCTTTTTAGTAGTTTCTTGTAAGCGTGATTATTTGAATAGATTTTGTTCAAACAGACGCAGAAGTGTTGCTCCTTAAGCCACTGTAGTTTTTGTTTTACTGACTATCATGAGGATAATGCAATATCCTCAGGAATTGCTGTGTGACTTAAGTGACCATTGTCTAATGTACAGTGGAAAGAAATGGCTAACAAATAAGAAGCTGTAGTGGTTACATCATGAATTTTCCATGGATTTTGTAAAGGAATCTCAGTGGGAGATTTTATTACGTCCCTGAATAAACTAATCTTGATTCAGGACATACACCATCTAAGTGCGTAAATTCCTGGAGAGCAGCTACTCTTTTTCCTGAGAGCCTGAAGCCATTCTTTCCACCCTGTTTTCAGTTTATTAAAGCAACCATATTTTGGAGGAGAGTCTGATGCTTTCAAAAAGGTGGGTTTGAGAGATTGAATCTCAATCTCATTTGCGTGAGAGTACTGCCGCAGTCAGTTCCCATTCACTGCAGGAACTTTGTTTTTTTAAAGTGTCCAAGAAAAGGCATTTAGTAAATATAATAAGTTCTCTTAGTACTACACTCTCTGAATGATAACAGGAGCAATTGCAGCTACTGGAATGGAAGTTGTATGCTTCAGTTGTAACTAACGGCTTCCATTATTCTGGAGCTTTGAAGAATTTTCACATGTTGGCTGAAGTTTACCAAATGTGGGCTAAGAATGAAAATTATTTTTTTTTTCTTTAGCAGAAATAAATCATTCCTATCAATAGGATGGGAACTACCTTTTGTTTTTTATTGGCCTGCCATGTGGCACACTGGGATAATGCATATGTCTAGGACTCATAGTCAGTGCAGCCACCCAAATGGTAAAAAATCATTTCAGAATGGAAAAGTGGAAGAAATGCCTATTCTTGTCTTCTCCCTTCTTGTCTTTACCTATTATGTGAGTGCAGATCTGGTTTCTCAGAAATGTAAACCCTTGTTATAGATTATATGGTGTTTTGTTGGTATCATTAGGCCACAAGCCGATAGAAAAAATATTTTATTTCCTGGTTTATGTGCAAAATTAGGCTGAAAATATGGTATGTTCCTGGTGAAAAGCTGTCCAGGTTTTCGATGGCATTTTGCCCTTCTTTTGCCAGTATGGTAGAGACTTTTGTGCTATGATCACAGGGATTCGCAGGTTATAGATCACGAAGCTTGCATCTAGCAGGCATAACTTTATATTTTATGTCAGGACTGGAGGCTCGTTATTACTTTGCTATTAACTTTATGCTATACAGGACAGTATCTCAGAGGCAGAGGGATCTATCTTTTTGGCATTTATCTGCCTCTGTGGCACAAACAATCAGAGATGATTCTTTAGCAGAAAAATTATCTGTAGCTTCTATTTGTTTCAAGGAGAATGACACAATCCACCTTTGCCTGCATTGTTGCACTTATATGGGTTCCCTCGTATTTTCATCCAGTGCACAACTTTATCTCAGTCCTTAGCTGCACGCACTCCTCTTTGTATCTGTATTTTTTCTTCTGTGTCCCCAGTTGGCACAATTTTCCCAGAGCAGAATGCCAAAGCAAATTACAATCAGGTATGAAAGGGATAGGTATCAAAAATAGTCTAAATGGCTTAAATAATTCCCTACTGTAATACAAGCTGTCTAGGGGGCTGACACAGAACATCTTCCAATCCAAGATTTACTTCTATCACCTGTCAGAGACCCTTGATTCAAGGGCAAATGAGCAAATCCTCACATGTAGTTGAGGAGTCTTAACCAGCTTAACAAGCCTCCTCTCGTCCCAGCTTCAAGGCCTGAGGTGTCCTGACACCCCAGAGAAATGTTCAGCTGCTGATAGATATTTGACACAAGAGAGGACTCTAGGACCAGCCACTTAGACTTTCGATGCTCTTCATTCTGGTATTTCTTACTCTGTTCCTCTCTTTTTAGATGAGATTATTTTTATGTACCTGGAGAAATAGCTTTACCTTGTGAAAGATGCATTTTCTTTGGAAACATTACAGTATAACTCAGTATGAATAAAGCTGGCAGAATCTGGCCCTCGGTCACTCGTGGAGCAAACTGTAGGGACTGGTTTGGTAAATAGGATGTTATCCCTGGAAGATATGTTTTTGGTTTTTAAATGTAGAAGAAGTACAGGAATGTTAAACTGAAAGAAAAAGCCATTGAAAAATTTTTGTATTTAATTTATTTGCAAACGTGATGCATCTCCATACAGATTTCCTTGATACAGGCTTTCTCAACTGTAAAGTAGAACTGTGAAGTAGAAAAAAATAATTTGACCTATCAAGAGATCTCTGGTGTTTCACCAATTGACGTTTTTATTCTGTATGAAATATGTTATGTCCTTAATGACTGACCTGGTCCTGTGAGAAGCGCACACTTTGAACGCAGACTAAGCTAAGTCTTCGGCTGATTTTGTCCTGGTAAAATGTTCTAGTATTATTTTATGATCTGAATGTATCTTCTTCCAGTCCTATTCTGCAAAAATCAATCTATGAAATTCTGCAAGTCTTTCACTGGCTATGTAAATATCAGTGGCCTGATCTTCTATTTTGTGAATTGAAGCAATTCGAGAACTTCAAGAGTGGTCCAGAGTTTGACCAGAATTTTATCACACTGTACAAAATACTTACATCTCTGTCTTTGTCGAATGCTTTACAATAGACGCTTGTGGCTGCCTAGGCTGTGAGCAGAAACTGTCTTAAGAAACTTAGACCACTTGCAATATCAGCTGGTGCTATGTGGTAAATAAGAGACAGCTTGCGGTGCTGCAAGAATGTATATGCCGTAGTTCTGGTGCCTCAACATGACTGGGAGGAAAAATTTTCATCTTTTGAGTCATCCTGAAACAATTTTTTTTGATTCGTATTTTGTCCCAGTAAGAAAATCTGCCTGAAGATAGGGAGATAAACAATGTTGCAAATTTTAGTGTTGTCTGAATTTAGAATTAGTTGAATTCCACAGAGAATTTAAGCGATTACCTGAATTTTGTAATAAAAAAGAGTAAATAACCTCTAAATCAGCCACCAAAAACACACACACACACACACGAAAGAAACATAGAATATTATATAATTTAAATATTTTGCCTTAATCATGATCAACTAGGAAATTGCATAAGAGAGAAAAAACAAGCAAGGGTAATTGGGTAATGAAATGAAAACATGAAAACTCTTAATTCTTCATTTTAAAATGTCTTCTTTTTATGTTCTTGTTGTTATTGTTCTGCTCTCGTCCTTTGTTTGTCTGCCTTTTGGTATCACTCTAGTTTTCTCAGTAAACTTCCTTTTCGTGCTGTAGTAGCTGGCTCAGTCCAACAGTGCTGATCAGTCACAGCCTGTGTTCTCTTGCTTGAAATTCCTTTTTTAATGCTGGTTAGTAGTCCTGCAAATTGCAAAAACCCCATCTTCATATCTTCACGTTCTACACAATGGCAGTCTACATTCGCTTCTCGTGTGTTGGTTGTGGTGGAATCTTCCTGGAGATCATAGAAGTACATTTACAGTAGCGGAGCGTTAGAGGGCAAGTACGCTTACTGTGCACAGCAGTTCTATGACAGTCACCCTGAACCTATGGAACTGCTTAAGAAGATTGTGTCTTTGTTCAAATATTTTCATGAATTTTTGAAGATGGTAGCTTATATCGTACAGATCACTGTTTGTATGATTGCTTCTGCTCACTCATTTCAATCTTGCGCTTCTCAAGACATTTATAGGTCAATGTAATAAAGAAAGAAAATTTAATAATATATGTGTTTTTATCCAGATGAGTGACTCACTTTGTGTTTCTATTTCTCATGTGAACTGCTCTTTGACTTTAATGTGTAGTTACATTACTCGGCATTGAATTTAATGTCTAATGTAGCCTCTTCCCTTCAACTTCCCCTTTTAAAAAAATTATAATGTTGAATACCACAGAAAATGTAGCACAGTAAGAAAACTTACTGCTCTTTTCAGCAAGAGGAGAGGTGAAATTTGAAGAGGATCTGTGTTGTTTTTCCTTTTCCGTTTATGCCAACGTTTGCAGTAGAGTGTGGAACTTGATTATAGCAAACCTTCGGCCAGAAATGACACCAAAAACCTGGGTATCTTAAAACTTTCTCTCTACCCAAGAGAAATTGTCTAGTGGAACAGGTTTTCTCCCATTTCTCAGCATACAAATGTCAATCATTTTTTGCTATGGAAGAGCAACACTATGGCATCTACAGGGTTTCTCATAAGAAAGCAAGGGATCAAGGATGTACTTACTGTCTTACAGGCAAAAAAGTTGACCAGACTAAAAGCAAACAGAATTTACTTTAATATTCTTCAGGCTTCGTTAGCAAGCCCGTAAGTGCCTCTCCAGGGAACAGCCTTAACAAACACTAGAAATAGTTGGAAATAAAAAGAAAAAATCCTGTAACATGTAAGCAGATGGCTGCATTTTGTGGTCTACTCATTCCTTAGGTCAAATGAAACTTGCAGGATTCTTTCTGTGCTGCTCAACACATCATGTGAAAGACAAATAGGACTAAAAGCAATAGTTTCCTTTGAGAAAGATTTCTTCCATCTTACTAAGATTCTGATTAGTTGCTCAAGACTTGCAAATTGAAGGCACCATTTGATTTTTATTTTTTTCCTTCATTTATGTGAAAGCTGGATCCTCAGTAGCACATTCATATAAATGCTGTATATAATCTGTAGGTAGAAATTGTTTGGACAGTCATGATTATAAATAAAAATTTCACTTTGCCATCCACAAATCAATGTCTATCACCAGTTTTTACAGCTTTTGTTATTGTGTTATTTCATTTTTCCTTTAAAAAGTACACGTTAAGTACATAACTGCACAGAGAAATTTATGATTGCAGTAAGGTATACTCTGTGTCCTAAAAAGCTCATCGTCAAAGACAGAGAACTCAAAATAGGTAAAATCAGAGAAAAGAGGAAGAAGGAAAGAAAAAGAAAGCTGTAATTTGGGGGGGAAGAAGCTAAGACAGATGCTAAAAGAAGTCAGTGGAGAATTTGGAGAGGCAAGAGAAAAAGAAAGCCTTAGTCATGATGGTTTAAGAAGAGCAGAATGGGTAGAGCTGATGAGGCTAGCTGGTTAACAGCAGGCTTAATAACTGCTTTTGTACAGTCCGGTGCTCCCCATGATCTGACCCTTTTATCAGTTGCTTTCCCAAACTTTGATTGTTGGACCTAAAATTTTCCATGTCGAGTGACTTAAACAACTGATGTACTTCAGAAGTTGCTTGCAGTATTGTCAAAAAAGCAAAACTATTTCTTCTTTTGTGATCCTGTGGTTAGGAAACATAGTTTTTTGAAAGTGCTTGTGTTAAAAACCAAATAAAAACCCTGAAAGATAGTGGGTCCTTGATCTTGGAACGTGTGTCCTTCCTTCCCCCCCCCCCCCCTCCCACACCTGACTGCGCCTCTTC